CATAATTCACGTAAGTGCATGCTGGAAATAATTGTTGGCGTCATCTCTACTCCTTTTTAAACATTTACTGCAATTAGTTCCTTATAATCGCTCACAAGTTCTCAACAGAGAAAGACCCAAGAGAGAAGTCTCGGCGAGATGCTCAACTAATAAGCAATTTATATTCATAAATTGAGAGACTTTTGACGTGAAGTAACATATTCCTCTCATAATATAAAAATGCATTTGGCTAAGATATTTTCAATGTATAAATCGCAAGAACAATAATTATTTTACAAAAATTAACTATTTACATTAATTTTAAGCAAACTCACAAAGAAAAGACAACTAAAAATAAAACACATTAGGATGAAGAGTTATAGTAGAAGTTCAAGAAGTAGAGCTACAGCTGGTATAAGAATTGATTTTGATTACACAAATTTGATTCCCATGCACCGGAAGAGTTCAACTACAATCATTCCATATCGGAAACAAATTGTAGTTCGTTTCTAATAAATTTTGTTGAATTAGATGAACATACGTTTCCTTCAAGTTCGTTATTGAATTTTTATATTGGACTGTAATCACCTTTATTTCTAATCGTAGGACTTGCTTTTAAATTAAAGTCTCTATTTCTTCTACTTTTTATTAAACGCTAATGCTCTATACTTTTCAGCATTATGCTTTTTGTCATGCGAGGATTTTGGTACGTTTGATATAGTTCTGTTCCTAAATTTGATGTTAGATGTTTTAAAAGACAAAATATTTTGTACTTTTTCATTATTATCTTTTGTGTATTCAATGATAGGGTTTTAATTTTACTTTGACTTTGATGACCAAACAACGAGCTAATTCTTTTCATATCACTCAACGACATCAAGATGTTTGTCTTTTATTTTTTATAAAACTTTTGGTTTATATATTTTTTTTCATCTTTCTATTTTCAGTTCTAGGGCTTTACGTGCGAAACACGTACATAGATACTAGTACTATATTAAAAGCATGAAAACCCTTAGCGAAATACCGTTCGTCTTTTTTACCCTTTAAAAACGAATTTTATATTGGACAACATTGTAATTTTAATTATTTTTCTAATATTTAGGACTTTAGAATTAAATAAATTTTTACTTCTTAAATCTTTTCTTATTGATTACTATGTGAAAGTCCTAATATTTAGGACTTTAAAATTATAATCCTATACTGAGTTAATAAATTGTAAGTAATGCTTATATTTCAGAATTGTCTGTTAGGACAATTCCTTCAAATTAAATTTGAGCTCTTCCTTTTCGTTTGGTAGTATAATAAATTCTTAACCGAACTAGAGATAGGAATAGTATCAAGATGTTGTATTAGAATATATTCTTTGATGTCCAGAAAATCGTGTCTTACAATGATCGTTGAGTCTATTATTTATAGCTCAGTGGGTGTAATGGTTGGGCCCACCACTAATGACAATTATTAAAGTGCGATAATAAAAACCTAACGGTAAACATAAATGCCCAAATTCCTGCCTGTAATGAGCCGTTACTCTTTAATGTTGTGGAATATTCTTCATTAAATGCTACCGGGCGCAGCATGCTTAATGCCTTTATGAACTTGCCTTTCTCGGTGACATACGAGGTAGACATGCCCGATTTTCTGTCCTCCCGGCTTTGATTCCACGTGTCTCCTTCTTTGGTGATCACGTATCGTAACATATTTTACCCAATACAATTATATATGCAACTCTTGAAAATATTTTAATAGTAGAAATAACAAAATATGGGTAACAAGATGTTAACCATTAGGATACCACAGTGAAATAATTAAAAAACAAATAGAAGAAAAAATGATCGACCATTGGACAAAGTAAAGGTGAGAGAAAGTTGGAGGACGAGTTGTGGAGGATTCTAGATGAGAATGTCAAAAAAGATACGTGTTGTGACTTGTGAGCACGAAAAATTAATATACCCCTTATCGACGATCTTCCCTTTCCTATATAATAGAAAAAATAGAGTTTCTCCGTCATTACATACTAGGTTTGAAACTTTTATAACTTTAACTTTCAAATTTTCATGGTGAAGTTGTCTCTTTGTTGAACATAATTGAATTGTTAGTATCCGTTTGGACACATCTGATTATAATGGATCAATATTAACTTTTCTTCTTCTTCTTCTTATAGTTGATGTTCTATATCTCCAAAATGTGAGATCTCATGCATTCTCTTTAAGCTCTTTTTTTTTTTAAAAAAAAAAAAAAAATTCCAATTTGCTTCTTGTTTCTTGCTTATGGTATATATAATATGGTCTGATCATATTTTAGGTTTAATCTTGCATAGAAAATAGGTTGTTGAGCTTTAATTAACAATTCTACAGGCTATACGTAAAATAGGTGGTTGGACAAGACACCGACCGAGTAGCGTTTTAAAAAGTCTTCGCATCTTAATGTAATTTATTTTTTACACAAACACTAAATTGGAGGTCGTGATTCTTTTATTTCATGATCTACATATATGTATATTCATATAATCTGATTTCCTATGTAATTTATTAAGTTTTATTTCTTTGAGTCATAAGTCCTCCATCAGCTCATCTCCTTCCGTTCATCTCTATTTAACATCTATAAGCTCAACATTAAGTGTTGATCCACCTTTTTAGCTTTTATAAATGTATAAAACTATAATTATATTTAATCATTTATTTTTGGTAAGATTAAAATTTGGACATTATTAGTTATGGATTTGTTACTTTGATATTCTTTTAACTTTGGTAAGTTACACTCTAAGTTGGATAGAATTACTCTAACAAGTTCGACGAATAAATTAAAACTTTCTTCAATGTGTTCTAGACATAAAAGAAAATAGAATTCAATGGAAGGTATTAGAGTTTAATGGAATTCATATTAATTAAAAGGTAACCTAATTTATTTGTTGGTAGAATTATGACTGAAATTAGAATTTTAAAGCTAATTCATTCAAAATACACTCCCCGTTTTTGGTTTGCATGCTTTTTTCTTTAATTAGAATATATATTTGAATTTGGAACTAGATACTTTTTAAATTACGAGAACAAATAAGTGCAAAAACCTAAGTACTATTAAATCACTTACCATGTGTACGTGAAAACGACATAGTAAAAAGAAATATAAATACGTCTACTGATGATCGAAAACTTCTACAAGGCAGTTTTAATCATTATTAAGTTAACTATATAGGATCAATAATCATCAGATACATATATCTTTATTTTATAACGCAAAAACTTAACTTTAATATTATATTTATGTTTTTTTTTAAAAATAAGGTACACGCGCAACGCGCGTATGTATAAACTAGTTAAATTAAAATGCCATAGTAATAAAGTAATTGTAAATGATAATTAGTAAATAAAAAATACGATACAAGAAGTTGAAAAAACAATACTATCTATACTATATTAAAAATACGAAGGCCATTAGCGAAATGTCGTTCGCCTTTTTTACCCTTTAAAAATCAGTTTTACATTGGATAAAATTATAATTTAAACTACTTTCCTAATATAAGACTTTAAAATCAAATCAAATTTTTGTTTACTAACTCAAACCTTATTTGAATTAGGTAAGAAGTCCTTAACATTTTCGAAATTTTATGACCTTTTCAATTAATAAAAGAATTATATCAATTTATGGTAAACTTCTCCATATGCACACAGTACACGTTAGGTTTGTCTATTTTTTCATTTTTGCTTAAATATAATTAATCATTTAAATTCTATTAGAATAAATTTATTGGTGGTAAATATTTAAACAATTATGAGAAATAAATATATCAACATAAATATACTTTCCATGTTAGATATATTGATAACTACCATTAACATTTTATATGTTGGATATTACAATTGATTTTCTAAATTTTCAATGAATTAATATCTTAATTGTATATAATTTTAGTATCTTGAAAAAAAAATAGCAAAATTTTCCTTACACCAAGAATATCGTATATAATAGATATTAGATACACAAACATAATATATCATGCTTATCTTCATAAGAAATATATAAATAACTACCTAAATTCTTAATCGTTGCAAATTCAAAATATAACCAATAACTATGCATTCAACTATTTCATCAATGTAATATTTATTTCTTAATTTAAATAAATATTACATTTATCTTGATGTCAATTGTTATCACACATAGTTTATTTTTATTCTAAATTTTATATATTTTTTATTAATCGACGCAAAAATACGTACAACGCACACACACTAAAACTAGTAAAATATAAAGGGAGAGCACCTTTTTTTCCTGGAATGACAGGGTACCAAGTTCCTTCGACATGATTTTTTCAAGTGAGCTACTGTAGGGGCGGGCCGACCTAGAGCATTGACTACGAATTTTCGGGAACCCAGTAATTTTTGCATAGATCCTGTATTTATATTAAGAAATTTACTAAATATTTATAAATATCTAACTGTGAACCCAGATATTATTGCATATTAATTTAAAATTACGGTAGAAACCCATAAGTCTCAAATCCTGGATCCGCCTCTGTGCGCCAGTATATGCTACTTATCACCTATGTCAATTTGGGGTACGCTCAGTTCGCCAGGAGGAGCGTCCTCCCAATTCGAAATCTTTTCTGAAAAGTTTAAACCTTGTTGACTAACAATATTAACTAATGGGGGCGGGTGCATGGGCATAGGTTCTCCAGTCTCCAGAGCATTTCTCCAGAATAAAAATAAATACGCTTTCTAACACTCTTCAAAATTCAAAGTGAATATTCCTTAGACGTACCAACCAACACTAAGCACGTACCACTGCGCATTTTAGCTAGAAAATTACCTGGATAACATAACAAACCCCCCCCCAAAAAGCAACTAAATGTACGTTCATTGCTTAAGAAGGAGATGCATTTTGACCTCTGAATTCAGTTACAGAACGCATTTTGCATTCATATGCGTCAGTTATACAACTCCAAAATGCAGTTAACTATAACCTCATTACCTGAATAAAACTTGGAAATGGGAACAAAAAGAACCTTACTTGAAGCTCAGCAATTATGGAAGAAGCAGAGGGAACTCATTATGCTGAAGATTGTTTTTTTTTTCCAAAAGCATACATCCTTATTACTGTATATCTAAGCTATATAATCTGCCTGCTCGGAGGGTGACTGCTATGGCCTATACAGTAGGAGTTAATTCCTTTCATCTTTTTAAAACAGACCTTCTATACAACATCTTCAGCAAGCTAAATAGCTAATCGTTGTTCAACTCTACAAACTCTACAACAACAACTACTACTACGTCTCAATCTCAAACAAGCTGGGCTCAGCTACATGAATCCGCAATGTCTATGTCGCAGTATATAAGCTCATTATCCGACTATCAAAATGCAAAATCTATTCACAGCATGGACTTTTAACTCGGCTGAGCTTGTAAAACAGCTAACAGCCTCACATGACGGCTAAGTGCCCATCTACGGAATAGGCCAGCCAAATAGAAAATGGCCACAAAGGCCATAGCACAAATGTCAAGTAGTCTCCATATTCCCAGACGTCCTGCAAAAGATAGTATTTTGTCAACATACATTCAAACGAGATTAAAATCTATGTGCATAACCAAACTGGACTCTGGAAGTGGTGAATGAGTTTAGTGCAAAAATGCTCATTTTAGGCCACATCAGAAATCATCATGTTTCAAGATTGCTAACTTGGATATTTCTTACACAATTGGTTGCCAATAGGGCCACCAACGGAGGTAATTGTATGAGTAGAATGGTTGAATAAAACAGTTAAGAAGCTAAAGAAATAACTTCAAGTTCTTGATTAGGTTCCAACCTGAATCACCAAAGTCACATGTTACTGGATGATTGATTTCAAAACTAGCTACCCCTTTGAAAGGAAGATTTCTAATCTTATGCACCCAAGGTTTTACGCATTCAGATGGTCATGCAGCCTACTAGGCTTGGCTTCCACATAATAGATTTCCAATCTATACATCTAATTCTCTATACATTAGAGTGAAGCATAGTACCAGTAGGAATAAACTCAAAGTTCCAGCTGCTGTAGATCCAACTCAGCAATAACTGCAGTTAAGACAAAGATATTACTAAAAGCGAATAATTATAATAATAGATACTCGAGTATTAACAGTGAATGGGACCATTCATATCACAAAGCAACATATACACCATGAAGAAATGCTTCATAACTGTGGATGGTCTTTGGTTTTGCATTGCAAAGTACTTAGGTTCAACTTAAAAAATATTATAGGAATTCTAGATCTACCCATGCCAAAGATGAGAAAAGTAAGTAACTAGAGTTATGCAGAGAGTTCTGCTAAAATTCTCCTAGGAGGGCCTGAAAGAATATATGCTATCATGCCCTAAATATTATGACCTTAAAAAAGGCAGGTCTAAGGAATCTATCAGAAGCGTCTATCGGGTACTGTTACATACTGTTGCAGAAATCATAAAGCATTACAGTTCAGACACCCGTGTTTATAGACCTCCAATCATTTCAACGTATGTACTTGTCTTTTACCTTTGTGTAATTGGAAACAAGCTTTCAAAAAGTTATTACAATGCCGTTAATTAAATGTTCAATGGACTTACAGCAAAAAGGCGCAGTACATAACAATTTAACTTGACATGATCAGGATCCATCAGATTGCTCATCAATGACCTGAGAATTCTCTGCATTAGCAGTGGCAATGCAACTAGTTTCTGTAAAGAAGAAAAGAAGAGATGCCATCAAATCAGAACTAGGAAGAATCATTTGATTCTAAAGTTTTAAACTCAAACAATTTCCTGTGTGTACACATGAATGTGTGAGAGGGTGTGTGTATGCATGATTAATACTTACACTTGAAATTGAGGATAAAATTTTTATTACTATTTTGATACTATCACCAGGTAAAGGACATAACTCGCCCTAAACCCCTGAGAGAAATCAAGGGCTCAAAAGAGCAGCAGAACATTATATAACAAGCAAACATCCAACTCCACTGAACTTGCTCTCCTACATTATATATGTTTCTAATGCTTCTCTTTATTTTTCAAATGAGCACTGGTGATGGAGAACTTTAATATGCCAAGATTGTAGAGATTTAACTGTTACGCCCCTCCGTAGATATACAACAAAAGTGGTGAACCAAACATATCCTTTTAGTCAGGGAATTAATTTAGCTGTCAAGACTAGCTTCTTCCAAGATCTTGAAATATTTCTCAGGCAATTCGAAAATGACTTTAGTCAACAAACAGTTTAGCGGCATAAAACTTAATCTGAATATAGTTGAGCTGCTCAGGCCAAGGAAGGGTTTGTGACAAGCTCTCATCTGGAAAACCTCAATCATTTGGTGCACACAAGATGGAATATCAGCAATTCTATTCCCTTATATCCCTTTAGCTTACTTGAGGTCTTCTTCAAGGATTGGTTACCATGCACTAACACAGGCAAACGATTCAGGCTGTGCTAAAATAAATTCGTGATACTAAGACCGCCAAAACTACCTGTCTGGTTAACCATGTTACAAGATTAGTTCTTTCAGAAATGAGACCATAATGCGTAAGAAGCAGCTTGCATCCACAAGGGATATCCCTGTATAGCTACTTTACCACATAACAACCAAACGACATGCAACCAAAAGTAAAAATCTAAGTGTAGATATCTGTTTGTATCACTTCCTAACTCATAACAAATAAAGGGTTCTCTCAAGGAAGAAATTCGCAGCTAACTCGTAATAGGTGAGTTCTTTCTAACATTGGCAAAATTTCTCCAAAGCATTTGCTATAGCAAATCAGTCGGCAAAACTAGATTTTGATGCACAGGAATGTTATTGTTATTTGTATTAAGTTAGTGGATGCACCTCAAATTGAGGTCCTCAATGTTGGATTATAACCTATAACCATAGAACACTCAAGTAACACTTCAGAACAAGAAATTTAGAAGATGATGCTTAGTCTACAATTGTTGTACAAATCATTAGATCCCCCCACCCCCACCCCCACCCAAACACAGCACACACACAAAGAAAAGGGGAAAAAAGCTTGTCTCCTCCATTGCAAAATATCCAAAATTACTAAATATAGCTAGACAATCTTCTCCATCACAAGATTTCCCGTCTTTCTAGGCGTACTTACTAGGAGATGAAATCTCAATTCAGTTCCCACTAAATATGGACAATCTTCTATTTCTACTGATAACAGAGACATGATTCACATATCATAAGTAATAGAATCGATTTGTATTTGTACACAGAGCACATATGTTGCGCGTCAATACCCTATTATCATAAGCTCCATTATTAATTGTTGCAGACCAATTAGCCAATTAGCCTTAACACTGAAGATGCTAATACAGTCTAAAAATAATCAATTAGGAAAGAAGTCACAAATAAAATAAGCAAGAAAAAGAGAAGTTATAGAAGAACTGTAACCAATTACCTACCAGAAACACACCATAAGCACCACCTACATATAGGTGATTGTATCGGCGAATGTCCTTAAGGAGTTCAACAGTATCCTCTTCCTGTTGTACAACTAAAGAATCCTCGGGAACCAGCTTACTGATGGGACGACAGCATATGGGGCATTTGCACCGCTGTAATGTTAATCTATAATTCCATAGCTGCAATATGCAAGTTGCTGCAGGATAGAGGGCAAAAAGGGGGTGATAAGGAAAACATAATTTAGATACAACTCCTGCAATTTATATGACTTTTCTCCCTTTTTCATAAAATAAAAGAAAATCTTTTCGTGAGTGTTTGGGGTTGCTCAGGGGGGTGAAGGAAAAGGGAAAGAAAGATCAAGCAGCGGACAATTTAGATCAAACAGAATTCTTCTATAAAAAGAGTCTACATAGTGGGAAGTCGTAAAAGTTATAATTACTAACACGTTTATATAGGGATAATAGCTTCTAATAGATCATCTATGATTTGTCTGAATTTCGCATCGGCATCTATAAAGCCCCATATCTCAGTTCTATAGTCAGAACTTGTGACAAATAAGGTGATGTAAACGAGTTTTTTCAGGTATAAAGATAGTAGAGGCTTTAACATAGATTTATTTGTAGAAAAACGAAAACTAAAAAGAAGAGAAGGATGAGAAAGTAGTAGTACCACAAAACCAGTGTCCACAATTTGTCCTGCAAGGAATTGTGAAGTCCCCAAAACATATAGGGCAGTGATCATCCTCAGCTGGTGGTGACTTTTCACTATGTTCCTCCATTTCTTCTTCATCAAATACACCGACACAATAATCCTCCGATTTCTCCCTTTCCTCGAAAGGAAAAAACTTAAATTTACCGATCACCATTATTTGTTCTTTTTTCAACCCCACAAAATGATCAATATAACCCCAAATCATCAAAGACAAAACAATCAATGACTGAAGTTGCAGCGACACATTCATTCCTTAGTCTCAAAATCTAACTAAAATAACATAAATGCACTAAAGAAGTTTTAAATCTTAGATCCGTACATGCACGGACATATCAAAGAGAGCCTTTTTTCAGACAAGGATGTGGAAAGATGAGTTGTTATATTGTCAGAAGCTTAAAGGATAAGAACGAATATATTTTTTTAATAATAATGAAAGAAAAAGGATATATTGGGTGGAAGATGAAGTGACAATTCGCCGCGTACAGTACAGGAGTTGACACGTTGCAGGTTCGCCGCGTCTCTACGATATCAATACCTTCCTTTTCGTTGTCATCAATAATTTTCATTCTGCTGTTTCATTTTGGCTCTTGGCATTATCAAAACAGCACATAATTCATTTGTGATGTGGCATCTCGTCAACGTTATTGTCCTATGAAGTTGACACACGTACTTACGTTGTTTTACTGAAAATGAAAATAACATTTCAACAGTTTTGTGGATAGTCATAATTGCATTTTTATCCCTCAATTATTGTTTATATTCCGGCAATCTTTGTGATATAATTCACTAATTATATTTGGTCTTGTATTAATTAAATTTTGTGCTTTTGGTCCCTTTAGATAGGAAATATGATGTTTTTTTTAACATACAAAATTAACGTAAGCACATGTGTTTATCTCTAAATCGAATAATAATTAAATTTGTACGCAATTTTAAGGATACGTGGTTTGATTCAATACAAATAATCAAGAATATTAGATAAACGAGTTAAAGACGAAATAAATGATCAAACTAGTTGTAATGTTATGGCCTAGCCCGAACTTAGATTGAACAGTGACCTCGTCCTCGATTGGGCCCTTGATTCGAGCCCAGTTGTGAATGAAGAACAGAACAATTAAATAAGAACTTTAGCAATAGCTAAAAAGCAAAAAAATAAACTCGTATTGCTTTGACTTGCGTATTATAATGTGTGTTACAAAAGAAAAGGTTTCCCTTTATATAGTAGGAGACTTTCATCCTTAGTATAAGTCTAAAAAGGTAAAAATCTTCCTTTCTCGATCACTTCGGCCCCAAGGCTTTTAGCCAATTCTAGACTTGCAATTATGGCCTCATACTCGGCCTCATTGTTAGTCAATTTCACAGTTGTAATAGATTGCCTAATTATATTTCCCGTAGGTGGTTTTAATATGATATCGAGCCCGAACCCCTTCGCGTTAGAGGCATCGTCCGTGAAGAGGGTCTAGATTCCTGAAGTAGTTCCCTTTCGACTTCAGGGTATTAAGGTTGGCGTAAAGTCGGTCAATAAGTCTGTCGAAATTTGAGATTTTATGGCGGTTTGGGGTCGATACTCGATATCGTACCCGCTATTTGCACGACCCATTTGGCCAACCGGCCCGAGAGTTTGGGCTTGTGCATGATATTCCTTGAACGTACAAGGGGGGGGTGTGAATTGTTGACTATTTAAAAATTAGTCGACTAACACAAGTATTAGTTGATTGATCACAATGCAGAATGAAAGTAAGCAGTAAAGAAGAGTAAATAACACACAACGATTTATACTGGTTCATTACCGTTGTGGTACTTACATCCAGTTTCCCTTGGGTCACAAGGGTTCCCTTAAGATCTTTGAAAATATTACAACACAGATGGTTTTAACGCGTTCACCACCAACGAACAGTATCACACCTTGAGTTCTGAGTAATTGACACAACTCTCTTTTGTGTTCTAGATCTTTCTATCTTTTGAGACACTGATAACTTACAGTGTTTGAACTAAAAAGTAGACGGACTTAGAATACAATGTATGTAGTTGCGCAAGTCTTCTTCTTGAAAGTATCAGTCTTCTTATAGGAGAGAAAAGAGACGTTGAGTCTTCAGCGAAATCAGAGGCACGAGATCTTTGCAAAAAGGTTTTGACCCAAGGGGTGCCTCTTCGAATCCTGCTCTTTGAAGAGTCCAGATTCGATTGTGACTTTCCTTGTCACCGCTTGAATTAAGGAGCCATTTACGTCTGGAGTGAGCTTAATTTTGGACACAGAATAATTGCTGGCGAGATTGGCAATCTGAGTTCCTTTGATTGAGGACTAATAAATTTGCTTCTCTTGATTGACCATTGATGTAGCAACAGCATCTTACTGAGCATCTCCATTCTTTCCTTTTTGTTAGTCCTGCAAATATAACATAAGATAATATTGTCATCATTGAAACTTAAACTTAAACCTATCAATCTCCCCCTTTTTTGATGATGACAATCAAGAAGGAGTAAATAGTAATTTAAGATACTTCCCTTTGAAGATGTTGCTCCCCCTGAGTTATGTTGCTCCCCCTGAGATTATGCTGTTTCCATCTCCTCCTGAATAACTGTAATTGCAATCCTCCTGCTGGTGTTTACTCACATTTTTTTCTCCCCCTTTGACATCAATTAAAAAGAAAAGAATAGCACATAAAATAATATAGGATAAAATATACATACTAATAAGATGGTTAGAGCAGCAGAAGTAGTGCCTTCAGCAGAGGCTTAGTTAGTACATACCCCAAAAAAAATTGTCTAAGAGAAACCACCAACAAAAATAAGCATAAGCAAAAAAATTAGTTGCATTAATTTCTTCCCAGAAAGTATTTGAGGGTGTTGATCACTTTGGTGCAGAAGGAGTCATAGGAGTTATCAACTTCCTTGACGAGTTTGTCCATCTTTTCACTCATAGAGTTGAAAGCCCTGGTTCCTTGTCTCCGTGTGGCTCCTATGTCCATCCTGATCTTGGCCACATTTGTACCTGTCTCCTTGGTGACATCCCTGGTTTTATCTACCTGTTCTTTCATCTCAACAAGAAGCAGCTTGACTCCATCAAGGTAATGTTGAATTTGTTGAAGATTTTGAGAGGCAGTTGACTGAGAAGCTGGTTGATCATTTTGGACTTCAACTGGTGATGTAGCACTTTCAACCTTGGCTCGCTTAACCCATCCATCATCACCCAGAGTGTACCCCATCATTGAAAAAGTTGTCTTATCATAAGTACTGGTGATGTACTTGGGTGTAAAGGGTGCTAAGTCTACTTTCATGACTTCTAGAATATGAAAGATGAGAAGACCATAGGGTAGACATGGAATAGAGGAGGATATATCCCTGATACTCTAAAGTATAAAATGAAGAATCCATACAAACCAATCAAGATATTTATTATTAACCAGACAGTAGAGGACAAAGACATCTCTAGTGGACAAAGAGCTAAGGGATCCAGATCTGGGAAGGAGAGTAGTGGCAATCATGTGGGCCAAAACACGGTGTTCAAACTTAAGATTTTTGGGGCCAATGTCAGGAGGGTTATCAGACAGAAAAAGTTTTGCTTCATCAAAAGACACTTCAAAGTTTTTGGGCCAAGAATTTTGGACAAACACATCATACCCGCTAAGCTTGGCAGAAAAGATCTTTTCAAATTGGTACGAGTCCAAAACAATTCTAGTCCCTAAAACCATAGATTCCAAATCATATTTATCATTCACGAAAAGATTTGCATAAAACATTCTAACAGGTTCTTCATACACAGAGTTTCCAACAGTGTCAACGAGAGGGGAAGGGTGCTGAGAATCAATAATTGCAGTCACATCACAATGAAGACTTTTCATAAGAGAGAGACTTACAGAGCGTCCATAAGCCATGGATTTTGACTTGTAGGACTCTAACCTTGCCTTTTCACTGGGGCCGTAGAAGATTAGCTTGCCCCCATGACCAAATTCCAAGCGTTCCACTTTACCCTTCTTGTATTCAGCCTTTTTGGAGGTTTGCTCCATGGGTCTCTTGCCGGCCTTTTTCTGGCTAATGGGAGGATTTTCAGATGAATTGCTGCTTTCATTGCCTATTCTGAGAAAATCTGAGTCAATGGACGACTCCACATCCAGAGGCTCTTCAGTGTTAAGAGGTTTTTGGAATCTTCGATTGCGTCTGGTTGCAGAGGAGGGATTTCTTTTGGCCATGGTATGAAGGGTTATTTGGTATAGAATGAGAGGAGTATTGGAGATGGAGGGTTTTTATTGAAGATTTTAGGAAGAGCGAAGAGACGCCTTGGTTAATGGAAAGGCCAAGTTCAGACGGAAGAGATGGTACAGAAGTGACTGATCGACGGTACTTGCAATAATTACGCTTACACATAAAAGTAAAGAAATAAAATATTCTAGTATAGGGTAAAATATTTTAAACACTCAAGGAAATATTTGATTTACAAATTTGGCACAATGCCAATCTTTTTTCGGAGAAGGCAAAATCTTTCTTCCAAAAGAGGTTTTGTAAAATATCAGCAAGTTGAGAATCAGTGCTAATAAACTCTAAAACAATATCACCTTTTTCCTACATGATCTCGGATAAAATGATGTTTAATTTCTATATGCTTTGCTCTAGAATGATGCACATAATTCTTTGATAAACAGATATCACTAGTATTGTCACAAAAGATAGGAGTGGATATAAGAGATAAATTAAAATCAAGAAGTTGGTGCATAATCCATATAACTTGTGTACAACAGCTTCCAACAGCTAGGTATTCTACCTCAGTCGTTGATAGTGCAACATTATTTTGTTTCTTGCTGTGCCAAGATACTAATGCATTTCCTAACAATTGACATGTCCCACTGGTACTCTTCCTATCAATCTTATCTCCTGCAAAATCAGCATCTGAAAAGCCTCTAAGAGAGAAATTATTAGAGTGATCATACCATAGTCCTAGTTCAGATGTACTAATTAAATATCTAATAATTCGTTTAACAGCAGAGAGATGGGATTCTTTAGGATCCGACTAGAACCTAGCACATTTGCATACACTGAACATGATATCTGGTCGACTGGCAGTTAAATATAGTAGAGATCCAATCATCCTTCTATACATAGTTTCATCAACCAGTTTTCCATTGCTATGTTCATCTAGAACGGTAGTTGGACTCATTGGAGTACCAATAGCCTTAGCATCTTCCATCCCAAACTTTTTGATAAGCTCCTTGGTATACTTGGTTTGGCAGATGAAAATCCCTTTAGGGGACTACTTGATTTGAAGCCCAAGGAAGAAGGTCAATTCTCCCATCATGCTAATTTCAAATTCTCCTTTCATGGAAAGAGAAAATTCTTCACAAAAATAGAGTTAGGGCTACCAAAAATAATATCATCTACATAAATTTGAGTAATAAGATTACCTGAACTGGATTGC